TTTATCGCGACATCCACCGTTCGTTTTTCCAAGCGTTCCAACCACCCACCTTCCCCGTACATGGAAACCAATTGAACCACCTTTCCCGTCGGCGCCAGCAGAGACTCGACATCATGTCTGGTGACTACCCGAAGCACCCCTTCCTCCTGTCGGTCGACGAGACCGCAAAGGCCCTGGGAGTCGACATCGACAAGGGATTGTCGTCCCAGCAGGTCCAGGAAGCCCAACAGAAGTACCCCGAGAATGAGTTCGAAGTCGGCGAGTCGGTGCCATGGTACACCATTCTCAGCAAGCAGATTTTCAATGCCATGGTGCTGGTCCTCATCTTCGCAATGATTCTGAGTTTCGCAATCAACGACTACATCGAGGGCGGCGTTCTCGCATTCGTCATTGTCGCCAACGTCACCATCGGCTTTTGGCAAGAGTACCGCGCTGAAAAGCGAATGGACGCGCTGCGCTCTCTTTCTGCACCTTCCGCTAATGTTTTGCGCGACGGCAAGACGCAGGTTATCCCCAAGTACGTACACGCATGCGCACGCGCGCAGTCCCCCACTTTGTCTTCTTGGCTTTCGGCCATCTTGGCTTCCTCTTCTTGGCGCACGGCTGACCCGTGATACAGTGCTCAAGTCGTTCCCGGTGACATCATCCTGCTGAAGATGGGTGATACCGTACCCGCAGACATGCGCATGTTCGAGGCTATGAACCTGTCCTGCGACGAGCAGTCCCTGACTGGTGAAGCCGCTCCCGTCGACAAGACCACCGAAGCCAACATTGTGGTCCCCGGTACCGAGAAGCCCGCCACCGAGGAGGGCGAGGTCGGCATTGGCGATCGCTTCAACATCTGCTATGCCACCACCATTATTCGAAAGGGTCGTGGTCGCGGCGTTGTCATCGCTACTGGAATGCAGACCGAGGTCGGCAAGATCGCCGCCTCTACCCAGAAGAAGGTCCGCAAGCCTGGCCGCTCCATGAACTACAAGAAATACGGCAAGCGTCAGCCTGTTGTCGGTCTTACGAAGCGTGTCTACGATGCTGTTGGCAAGTTCTTGGGTCTCACCGAGGGAACTCCCCTGCAGCGCAAGCTTGCTGCTCTGGCCTACCTGCTCTTCGGCTGTGCCATCATCTTGGCCATGATCGTCTTTGGTGCGCACAAGTTCGACGTCACTGGCGAAGTTATCATCTACGCCGTGTCTCTTGGTATCGCTATTATCCCCGAGTCTCTCGTTGCGTAAGTCTTCCTGTTAGTCGTCGAAGAAGTCTATCTAACTATCCGACAGCGTACTCACCATCACCATGGTCGTTGCCGTCACTGTCATGCGCAAGGCGAACGTCGTTGTCCGAGACTTGTCCGCCTTGGAAGCTCTCGGCGGTGTCACCAACATTTGCTCCGACAAGACCGGTACCCTTACTCAGGGCGCCATGATTGTTCGCAAGGCCTGGCTCCCCATGTCCCACACCTACACTGTTCGCGACTCCCAAAACCCCTCCGACCCCACCAAGGGCAAGGTCACCTACACCGAGTCCAAGGAGGAAGAGAAGGTTGAGGAAGCACCCAAGCGTGATTACGACCAGGAGCGTTCCGCCGCCGTTCTCAAGTTCGACGTCCCCGAGGAGAAGCTCCAGAACAAGCAGCCCGCCAAGGCACCCGAGCCAGAGGTCGACGCCGAGATGACCCCACCTCTGAAGGCCTTCCTTCTGTCCTCCGCTCTTTGCAACCTAGCCACCGTCCGATATGATGAGGAGGAGGCCAAGTGGCAAACTACCGGCGAGCCTACCGAGATTGCGCTTCAGGTCTTTTCCCACCGATTCAAACTTGGCAAGAAGTTCCTTGAGGGCAAGGGCTGGCATCAGCTGGCTGAGTTCCCCTTCGACAGTTCCATCAAGCGCATGTCAGTTATCTACGATATTCCCCAGGGCGATGAGACTGCCGATATCTGGGGCCACGACAACAGCCTGGTCTTCACCAAGGGCGCCGTTGAGCGTATCCTGGATCTTTGCACCCATCTTGGCTTCGGCGATGCTCGGCAGGAGCTTACTGAGGAGCTCAAGGGAGAGGTCCTCGAGCAGATGAACAACCTTGCTTCTCAGGGCCAGCGTGTTCTTGCCATTGGCTACCGTGATTGGAATGGCAAGTTCACCACCAACCAGTCTACCGTCCCTACCGAAAAGGAAGAAGAGCTCCGCGGAGAGGTTGAGCAAGGCCTTACTTTGCTCGGTCTTGCCGGTATCTACGACCCTCCTCGCCGCGAGACCAAGGCGTCCATCGCCGAATGCTCCACCGCCGGCATTAAGGTTCACATGCTCACGGGTGACCACCCCGAGACTGCCAAGGCCATTGCGAAGGAAGTCGGCATCATCCCCAAGAACCTGGGCGTCCTGCCCGATAGCATCGCCAAGGCTGTCGTTCAAAAGGCCACCGACTTTGACAAGATGACCGACGCTGAGATTGATGCTCTTGAGGAATTGCCTCTCGTCATCGCTCGTTGCGCTCCCGAAACCAAGACCCGCATGATTGACGCCCTGCGTCGTCGCAATGCCTTCATGGCCATGACTGGTGATGGTGTCAACGATGCCCCCTCCCTTGCTCGTGCTGATGTCGGTATTGCCATGGGTTCTGGTTCTGACGTCGCCAAGTCTGCCTCCAAGATTGTGCTCACTGACGACAAGTTCAACTCTATTGTCGCTGCCATTCGCCAGGGTCGTCGCATGTTCGACAACATCCAGAAGTTCATCCTCCACTTGCTCAGCTCCAACGTTGGTGAAGTCATTCTCCTGGTGTGCGGTCTCGCCTTCCGGGACAGTGATTCTCTCTCCGTCTTCCCCATCTCGCCTCTCGAGATTCTCTGGATCAACATGGTTACCTCGTCCTTCCCTGCCTTCGGTCTCGGTCGTGAGGAAGCTGCCGCTGATGTTATGCGCAAGCCCCCTCAAAACAAGAAGCGCGGTGTCTTCACCAACCAGATCCTTGTGGATATGGTTGTCTACGGCATCATCATGGGCGCGCTGACCATGTGCACCTTCGTCATCATCGTTTGGGGAGCCAACGACGGCAACCTTGGTTCTGCTTGCAACAAGGAGTTCAGCGAGGCGTGTCGTCCTGTCTTCCGCGCCCGTGCTGCTGTCTTTGCCGAGCTTACTTGGATCATTCTCATCTCCGCCTGGGAGTTCAAGAACCTGCGCCGTTCCATGTTCCGCCTGAACCCCGAGGATCCCAGCAAGTTCCCCCTCTTTAAGGACCTTTACGCCAACAAGTTCCTCTTCTGGGCTGTTGTCCTCGGCGCCCTCTCTGTCTTCCCCGTTGTTTACATCCCCCAGCTTAACACTAAGCTGTTCAAGCACGTCGGCATCACCTGGGAGTGGGGTATCTCTGTCGGCTTCACCATCCTCTACGTCGTCGGTGTCGAGGCCTGGAAGTTCGTCAAGCGTACCTTCCACCTGCTCGAGGACCACAAGGTTGTCCGCGGCGCCTTCAGCCAGGGCGGCGAGGACGAGGGCCGCGACTTCAAGAAGACCATGACTATGTCCAGCTTCAAGAGTTGGGCATCCTTCGGCCGCAAGGACACCGGCGAGTCCACCGGCCGCCGCAGCCGCTCCCAGATGCGCACCAACACCAACCTGTCGGGTGACACCCGCACCGGCGAGGGCTCCCCCAACACCAGCGCGGACGACAAGGTCTGAATTGTTTGAATTTTGAGATACCGAAACTGCATTTGTCGAGTTTGTGTCAAAGTTTTATTGACATGTTTGTGCGAACAAGAGTACATGATACCACTATCACGAAGATGATACGTTGCATGAGAAGAAGCTAGAAGCTAGAGTCATGATTCAACGGCTGATACCCAGAGGTGAAGGAGGGTATGTCGAGTTGAGAGATGAGGAGCAGTTGAGCGGGCCTTGAAGGGGCCTTGCATCATGACTTGAAGATTTGCATCGAGGTGGAGGAGGGAATCGGTTGTCTTGTCGTTTTAATAGGATGTACCTAATAATCAAATTCTGCCCATCTACATGCTGTTGCCTTTCTTTCTGTGACAACACTATGATTCGTGTGCCCGCTATTACTCATGTCTGTCATCGTCATCTGTTCTGTCGTCATTCCACGCACTTGAGAGTGAGACAGTGTCCCTTCGAATACATCATCTTTCGTACCTGGGCAAACTAATGTGACCTTGTCATCTGGGCCGTGTGCAAACTTGACTTCGCACCTTCCTCGACCTAAGACATATAAAGTGTTTAGGGTAATGTTCCTAGTGCCAATCTCTCAGGGACAAACAATCAGATCTAACGACGAATGAGGCACTTTGTTTGCGCCCTCTCGGGTCTGCGGAGCTTGCTGCTTCACTGGTGGTTCCAGACTTCGTCACTGTAGTTGGTCTAGAGCATCATTGAGTGACGAGGGACACCATCGTCTCACTCTATTCGTCGTTGCTTTCAGTTTATTATCCCCCCATTTGGAGACGGAGGAAGTGAGTGGCAAGGTTTCATGTGGGCGAGGCAGCTCTGGCGATGAGCGAGTAACGCGGCTCCATGTCCAGAGTCGACAATATGGCCGGATTGTCCCGTTTGGAAAATACTCTACATCAGTCGGGAATGAAAGATTCCAATTTCTCCCGGGTTTGTTTAAGATCTCGTTGAGCCTTGAATTCATATCGATGACGGACTTTCGATGTAGATGCGCTCGTAAAGACGGCAGTAGTTGCCTTGCAAGTCTGCCTGCTTCCAGCACTGCCTCTTCAGCTACTCCTGCAGCACACGCTCCGACATCTGAGTGGACGAAGTAACACAACCTAGGCAGCGATTGGTCGGATCCATACCTCAGAACTTTGCAATCGTTTCTCATTTTCTTGCTATTATCCAACAACAAGTGATCACCTGACACCGGCAGCCCAAATCTTTTCAGCTGCTTATCCTCCTCGTCTCCTGTGCCGCTTTGGCACAGCTGGGCTTCCTTCGCCGCCAGCGCTTTTGCTCAGCAACGCAAGCTGCACCTCGCGCTCGGCACAATGGACCCATTATCGGCATTCGGTTTAGCTGTCAATGTGTTGTCGGTCGTTGACATCTCCAAGTCTTTCCTCGAGACTCTGGGGCAGGTCAAGGATGCGGGCTCGTCGGCCGCCACGCGGGACATTGTCAGCGTCAGCCGCAGCCTGCAAGCATCGAACGCGAAAATCGCATCTCAATCGTGGGCTGAAAACGACGATGAGGTGACATTCTCTCAACAATGCTTTCTTGCAGTAGAACTGAGAATCATGGCAGGCTTTTAGGAACCTTGTTGAGGAGTGTCAGAAGCTCTCAAAGGAGTTGGTGCGTCTTGCAGAGGAACTGTCTGTCATGAGTTCGAGCAAGCTCGTGGCGAAGCTTAAGGTCGCAGATCTTACGATGCGGAGCCACAGTAGGATCGAAGAGAAGAAGGCCCGGCTGGAGACGCTTCGCGGACAAATTTTGTTCGATATCGTAGTTCCAATGGCCAGAAAGGTTCACGAGATCCCCGACATGGTAACGATAGATACACAGACCCGGGCCCTCCTCAGGGAGATCGAGGCAGGCCAGGACGCAAATAGCGCCGTGGAAAAGCGTCTACGTATCTTCCACGAAGAGTATGCTGCCATTCAGGATGAGCGGCACACTGAGCTTGTCTCTCTTCTTCGTGATATGCCCGACGTGAGGCCGCAACCACCCAGGTCGGCGAAGGGAGACGAAAATCTGAAGGCTAAGGGGGTGGTATTAGATAGTTTGCTTGACTCTCTCTATTTCCCCCAAGAAAGCGACCGATTCCATAACATCAACCCGGCTCACAAAGGCACCTTCGAATGGATTTACCGGAAGCCGCCCACAGGAGCAAGCAAAGCAACATGGACAGACTTCCGAGAATGGATGTAACACGGTGCCGGAATATACTGGATTTCAGGAAAGGCTGGGTCGGGTAAATCGACGCTCATGAAGTTGCTGCGTACCGATACGACGACTCGCAGTTCTTTACGTGACTGGTGCTCCAGTAGCTGTCTTTTGGAATGGTCGTTCTACTTCTGTGGAATCCAGGGACGCATTTGCAAAGGTCGCTGGAAGGCTTGCTCCGATCTGTTGTTTTTCAAGCTCTTGAGGAATGCCCCGAGCTCGCCGAGAGAATATTTGACGCCGGGTTCGTACAACGCATTGACAAGCATCATTCCCCAACTATACCAGAACTTAAACTAGCGTTCTCTTGCCTGACAACGCCAGGGTTGACGGACATCTCCGGGGCTCCCATAAGACTGGTTCTCCTCATCGATGGGCTCGATGAGTTTGACGCTGGTACAACAAGTCTCATGGAACTCGCGGCGTTGTTCACAACCGCTGCTCAATCACCCTCTTTCAAAGCTGTTCTGTCCAGCCAACCCGAAAACGCATTCGAGGAGGCTTTCGTCAATTGCTCGAAATTGAGGCTTCACCATTTAACTCATAGTGATGTTTTTATGTGAACGAAAACCTTCGGAATCATCCTAGGATGCTTCAACTTATATCACGGGCCCCGGAAGAATCAGCCAATCTTGTTGAAGAGGTCGTGGAAGCCGCTCAAGGGGTCTTTCTCTGGGTTGAAGTGGTTGTGAGATCTCTGCTCGAAGGTTTCCAAAATCATGATGAGATAGGTGCGTTGGCCGAAAAGCTGCTCGAGCTACCAACAGACCTCGAGGATCCATTCCGCGTCATGCTCGGGCGAGTTCCCCATAGATACAAATCGACCATGTCGAAAACATTTCAGCTCATACGGGGCATTTCTGAGCTCCAAGCCAAGGATCAACCTTGTATGGATGGCACGGATAAATGGCCATTGACGGCACTGAGCTTGAAGTTTGCTCTTGTTGAGCCAGAAGCAGTACTCCAAGCCCAGATTGGTTAACTTACTCTGAAAAGGGCATTTGAAGAAATTCGTTCAATCGAAGCACAGATGAGGATATGCTGCTCTAGTTTGATAGAGCTTAGAGCCTCAACTGATCAGGCTCACCCCGATCTACTTATGGAGCCGGCACCAGAATCCAAGACTGAGTTCAGTTCCGCTGTAACTGACAGCTGAAATGACTGGTATGATCCGGAGGTGCAATCAATACACCGGTCCGTAAGGGAATAATTGTCGAAAGAGGATGTGTGGGATGGAATTCCTGCCCTCGAGAACTTCAACGTTGAAGCCGCAATCTTCCGAAGTCTGGTCATGCACGCTAAATGTGGTTCGAACCGAAGCCGCAAATCCTCATCCTCGAAAGGCGTGCCCTGGGACATTGTGGCAACTGCCCTGGAAATCGCTCGCACTCTGGAGATTGAGTGTGGGACACACCAGCTAGACATGATGAATGCTTTGGAGACGGCACTGACGACAAGATGCGGATTGAGCCGGTGGGATACTTTCGACGACTTCCCAACTCAAGGTGCTGCGTGCCAGGACAGCTTGTTCGCATTCGCTGTCCGTTACGGTCTGCGGCTCTATGTCCGAGCAAGACTCCGGAATGGAGGCTGTCAATCTCTTCACAAACAGGGTCGACCGCTTCTTAATTATGCCTGCGCGCCAACAGCAGCTCCTGTGTGGGTAAGGGGCCTAGATGCGCGGATTGTTGCGGATTTGTTGCACATGGGGCAAATCCAAATAAGCAGTTCAACGGATGCAGTCCCTGGCAACATGCCTGGTATACGGCACGGTCCGCGTTATCTACAAGAGATGAATTGTTCCCAATCCTCGAGACTTTGCTAGCACACGGTGCAGATCCAAACGTGTACATCGAATACTTTGAGCCTTTCCCGGAAAGGCCTCTCTTGTTACAGAGGTGTCGATTTTCTGTTCTTCTAGTAGCCCTAAGACTGCGTGCCAAAATCTGGGAGAGTACAAATAGCACCATTGCTACCAACGAAGCGATTATAAAAAGAATTATCAAAGGGTTGAAGAAGAAGGGCGCGAGGGTTCGGAAGTGGAGAGAGGTAGGAGATACCTTCATCCGTGAGAGCCCCGGCTCTCGGAAAATTCGGGGTCGAGTACCAACACAAACCCAGTGTGGGCTGATGTGATATGTACCTTCCAGAACCAAACCCTCAACATGCATATCGAAAGGTTCAAATACACATTAGTGGCTTTCACCGAGATTACAAACTGATCAAAACTACTTGAGAAGTGCCCATGCTTGACCCCAGGATCTGCCTGGATTCCACGACTGAAATATGACGGGCACAGAGTTTGGCATTAGAATATCTATTCCCAAGGGCTGGGTGCCAACCATTCTACTCAGCGGTGGCTAGGTAAGAGCTGCAGCTTAGGGTCACGCAGCCCTGGATGAACCGAACATGACAGATGACTCTATTTCCAGCGCGTTGTTGTCGAATATTGAGAAATTTTACGAAGGGAATGAAGACGGAAAACCTCATTCTTTGAGTGTACCAATGCCAATCCATAGTGTGCTGTATCGCGTAGTTGGTCTGATCATGTGTCAATATTATGACTCGCCAACGGGCGCGATGGCAGGAATCACCCGAACACTCACGTAAGCTCTTTCGAGTACTTCGGAAAACAAAGTACGGACTAAGAGGATTTTAGCACTTGTTCAAAATAACCCGGAGCACTCATGCATGTATGTGGTTAGTCATTGGCCATTTCACGTTTAGGTTGGGAACTGCTTACGACTACAAAAGGTTACCATAGTTGAGGAAGCCTAGCAAACCTTGAGTTCCCTGACTCAAGTTCATCCCTCACCCAAGCCTCTTTTGACATTGCCCAAGCTTCGAACGTGAGTGATGATCATATGTAGGTCCAACTGTGGCCGCCGGATAAATAGTGTAGTCTAAAATCGCGCTTGGTCATAGACCATTCGTTCGTTCGGAGAGAATACGCTGGCCCACAATGCTTATCTTGCGCATAATGAAGCGTAGACACTACTGAAAGCATCTTGCGATTTAACTCAATCGAGGTTCCAGCATCCTCCATCCAAAAGGACTGCGAAAGGGAAAACTTCTCCGTTTTAACGCCCGATGGTAACTTCCGACGCAATGAGATCGAGCAACTATGGACAAGGTGTGTCGTGGCCGCTCTCATTGACCTTGACAGATAAGCATATAAAGAGGAGCGAATTCCTCCCCCACGGATAATGATGGGTGAGCAGGCTATACAGCTCTGACAACTCTCCGAGAATCTCCGAGAAACAAGATCTCCAACAGACGCCCGTTTCTAGAGAAGAACAATGTATTCTCGAAGTCTTCTCTTCTTCCTACTCGCTGTTCCCTTTGCAGCTGCGGTTCCCGTCGCTGAGCAGAAGCACAATGGGAAGCCCATCCAGTATGTTGCCATTCTTCACCCTGTTCCCCTGTTCCCAACCCGTCCTTTGCGTTTGGTTGATTTGCTTGATCCTCCATCGCTCTATATTGATCAAGTTGACCTGTAGCTGACATCGTGCCAGCGTGAAAGTTCCCGGCTTAGGGACGGGTACCTATTATCCGGGAGACCACGGCCATAACGGGAATGTGGCGGTGTATAATCTTGCCCACTATGGCAATGTAAATGGCCCCAAGAAGGGAGGTAAACCGTAAACAAGACGAACTCTCTACAGATGAAGGGCTATGGTCTATGGCCTAAGCATTAAATTGCCAATTAAGTACAGAGAAGATACAGATAAAAGACCAGTTTCGTCAATCAGCATTTGTCGTCGTTCACTGATCAACTTGTATTTGCTGGCCTTGAGAAGTGAGCTGGGATGTGTTAACACGCGCGACGCCTTACAATTCGGAACCATTAGTGAGAAAGTGCTCAAGGCGATTGAAGAATTCACCAGCAGGAAATATCTCCCAAACCTAAGGTAACATATGTATTCTACACGATTTCAACACCAAACTTCAACTGGGTTGTGGTTGCCACATCTGCATATGCTTCTGGGTTCAAGACGTCAGGCATTACCTACGGTTATATGTAAGAAACGAATGCAATGACTTGACACCTTCTATCATTTCATGGACAGCATTAGTCTTATCAAGCCTCGTCCAGTAGCTTCAACGTAGATCTTGTTCCTCAGATTGAAAACGAAAAGTGGATCGGGCTCCAGTTGACTTTGGCTGAGTAATCGTCATCCGCGCAATGTTGACAGAAGGCGTCACGTCCAAGAAGGGCAAAAAGGCAAAAGAAACTGATCATAATGGGCTACGAACTAGGATGGACGGGCAGGTGATCGAAACCTGGACCTTCCGCAGACATCGCTGAGGATATGCAAAGCGGACGCTCTACCACTGAGCTACACGCCCATTTCTTAGGTGATGGCTTCGATGGAGCATCGGAACCGGTTGGGGAATCCGCGCCCAATTGGAGGTCAAGATGCTGCGTTGCAGGCTGCAGGCGAGTCTGAATTCGGCCGGGGAAGTGGTTCTGTGGATTCCGCGGAAGGGCTCGCGACGCAGTGGAATGAAACCCCTCACTTTGTGCTCCCCACCTTGGTGCAAGCGCAAAAAATGGAAGCGGAAAGCAATGAGAAATGCGGCATTTGCAACATGCCCTAAGCTCAGTAGTACTTAGTATGTGAGTTCGGAGTGGTGCTCATCAAATCACACCGAGCGGGGCTCAGCCCCGTCACTCCCCTTGGTGTAGTTGGTTTATCACGTTCGACTGTAATGGTTTCATTGTCATCGAAAGGTCTCTAGTTCGATTCTGGAAGGGGAGAACCAATTCTTTTGCATTTTTGCTGATTTGGTTCTCAACTTCTGTCGCTGGTCGGTCTTCGATGACCATTCAACACTTTTGTCGCCTAGCATATGCGACCGAGACCGTCCGATTGACTTCGCCATAGTCTCAAACTCAATTGCCCCTCATTCCCGCCGCCGATGCGACAGTGGCATCTATCAAGTTTCGGGTCTCATTCCTGAAGTTCTGGGCGAAATATTGTACTCAGACATCTCTGCCACTTTCATTCCAATCTCTCTGCCCCATCCCGCCGTCAACGTCGACCCCCTCTTTTCTGGCATCCTTTACAGCTTGTCTTGCCTCTTGCTGCTCTTGTTTCTTCCTGCACATCATTAGCGATATCCTGGGATCCTCTAGTCGCTAAGTAAACTCACCTCTCAAGGCCGCTCGCGTAATCGTCAAACTGCACGTCCTGGCCGGGGACCTTCTGCGCCCCGCTCTTCCGATCGACAGCATCCGCAACCTTGCCTTCCGCCAGAGTCTCCATCTGCTCGGCCTCGACGTTCGGGTTCTCTGGCCCTCGGCTTGCGCCTGTGCTGCTGTATGCCGTGTTGCGCTGCTCCGTAGCATCGACGGGGCCGGAGGAATGCACACCTTGACCTAGGGAGCTAGGCACCGCATCGTCGGCAGACCTCGACTGCGACTGCGGAAACGGCGTGCGACCGAGGACTGCATCGCGTGCGCTAGATTCGCTTTGCTGTGCAGCTGTGTTCTCTGCAGGGTTGCGGGATGCAGGGTTCGATGATGAGGTGTAGGCCTCGGCCTTGGGTGGTTGAGACATTGTAGTGTTTTAATGTGCTAACTGGCGTATTCCAGGTATTGTTACTGATGAGTTCTTGGTTTCAGATCTGGGAATTATTTAAAGATGATCGCAGTAGATATCTTCAAAAACGAGTCGCTCAACACCTGACGCTGGTGCAGAATAACTAGCGAAAGCTGCGCTCAAATCAGTGACAGATCGATGACGTCGGCGGGCGGGCAGGTCTAGATCGGCGCTTGTTTGCTTGGACAGATCTGAATGACAGCAGCCACATCCCCAAAGTCGGATCCATCTTCATTCGTCATCGCATACCACAATCAACTGCTGCTCTTTATCACCAGCGATTGTCATAGAATCTCAGCAAGGTAAGTAGATACGGAGTTCAGGAACTAGCCACACTCCAGCCACCGTGTTCTTGAGCCACGACGCCCAGGACTCCAAAGTTGCTCTCGACCCCGCGCACATGGCAAGCAATGCACATTCCAATCTTCAACGAGTCGCGTTACTCAGAATTGAGACGAAATATCTCCGCAGCCCGGGCAAATCCCTCTGAAAGTATTGGTCAGCTGTCGCGGGGTCGCTCGCGGCTCGCGATCAGTCCCAAAATTGCGCCACCGGCTGCACCCATGATCCCTGGTTCTTCCAAACATGTCGCTACTGATTGCTCGGTATCTCAACATGTCTTTCGAAACAATTGCCTTGCCATTGGTTCCCCGCATCGTGATACTTTGGCCAAGACAAACGATGCGGCGAGATGGAGGGTCGCGGGCCGGGCTGACGGCTCCGACTCGGCGTGGACATGTGCCGCCGAGTTCCGCTGGGCTCGTTTTCGCCCATTCAGTATGTTCGATGATAGATGCTGAAGACAGCTATTGGTGCCAAGGTCTGATGTCCATCCATGACAAAATCCAAGTTGCATATCGCGCGATATCGCGTAAACTCGTCCCAAGTCTGAGCAATGCCGCTCCGTTTGTGGTGTGGGAGCGACTGCTGTTGTTTATAAGGAACAGAAAGCGCCCGTTCTTCTGCGCGAGGCGGTCGCAACCTTAATAATATTGATACAGCGAATTTCAGCTCTCACATTATTGACAATGGCGCCGGCAGCTACAGCGACAGCTCAGAAGCCCGAAGAGGCTCCCTCGAAGACCATTCCCATCAAGGAGTCTTTGGCTGTTCAGAATCCTCAACTCCAAGAGGAGGAGCTTCCAAAGGTTCTCATTGGTCACAAAGAGCCCTTAAAGCTGAGTGGCGCGTTGGATAAGTACGAGCACTTCGACAGCACCCCAATCATCGGTCGCGAATTCCCCAGTCTCGACATCAAGGAGCTCCTCAGAGCGCCCAACTCCGATGACCTCATCCGCGATCTCGCCATCACCAGTAGGTATATCTTCCACCCCAAAGTCCTCGTACTAATCCTTCCAGTTTCACAACGTGGTGTTGTGTTCTTCCGAAAGCAGGACAACGTCGACAACGACCTCCAGAAGGAACTCGTCCAGCGACTCGGCGAACTTTCGGGCAAGCCGGCCACGTCGAAGCTTCATATCCACCCCGTCAACAATGCTGCTCGCGGAAACGACAAAGATGACGAGATCAGCGTCATTTCATCTGCGAACGCGAAGAAGCTATCCCTGTACAAGTACCTGAACTACAACAAGAAACAGACCCAGAGGACGCAGTGGCACTCCGATATCACCTTTGAACCTGTTCCCAGCGACTATGCGCTGTTGAGGCTTACCCAACTTCCAAAGACGGGAGGAGGTATGTCGTCTCTCGCTCTCGCTTGCCGACTGCGGTCTTGACTAACAGATTTGTAGACACCCTCTGGGCATCAGGATACGAGGTGTACGACCGCATCTCTAAACCTCTGCAAAAGTTCCTCGAAACCTTGACGGCAACCTACGCACAGCCGGGATTCAAACAAGCCGCTGATAATAACGGGTTCAAGCTGTTCTCGTCCGAGCGCGGCGCCCCCGAGAACGTCGGCGAGATTCTCGAGGCCATCCACCCTGTGATCCGCACAAACCCTGTGACCGGATGGAAGAGTGTCTTTGCCTTTGGTCATCACGTCGAGAAGATCAATGGTCTGTCCGAGGACGAGTCGAAGCACTTTCTGGATTGGTTCGTACAACTCGTCCTGGAGAACCACGATCTCCAAGTTAGACATCGCTGGCAGAATGTCAATGACGTCGCGATCTGGGATAATCGCTCGGTGTACCATGCTGCTACGCCAGACTACCTTGAAGGAGATTATGGCGAGAGGTCTGGATCAAGGAGTGTTAGTCTTGGCGAGAGGCCATACCTTGACCCGCAGAGTTTGAGTAGACGAGAGGCTCTCCGTGCTGAAGCTCTTGCTAAGGAGACTGGAGCCTGAGTTCCATGTAGGGCGGTATAATTATCAACAAATACGATAATAGAAGTCAGCCATGCTTAACGGTTGAAGTTCAAGCACAATGACCAGTACCCCTTCGTGATTCTGTGATCCAATTACCCTACTCTAGTCCCTACTCTGCTTCGGGTTTCTTATCTATGAGCGGCCGTAACATCTTTACAAACCCCACCCATATTGCCAATGAGAAAAGCGGAAAGATACCCAGGATGTACAGCGCAAAGCTGTATCCCCTTTCCTGCGCTATCCAGCCTCCCAGCGAATGCGAGATAGATGCACCCGTCTGGCGGGTGATACCGCCGACGACACCAAAAGCCAAGTTAACCCGCCCTGTCCCAGCCATCATGACGGCCAGCAGTCCGGGTATTGCGACGCCCTGGATACCTGCACCAACACCATCGAGAATCTGTACAGGCCAAACTCCCCAGCTCTTGATCACCCGGCCGGCGACGGCGGCACGTATAGGTAAGACAGCATAGGATATTAGAATGGCGAACCAGTAGCCGGAGCGTCCAGCAAGCCACGCCGTCAGGAATGACATGATGATCATGGTACCCTGTGCAATGATAACGGTAAGGCCAGTGGTTCCGGCGGGGTCGCCCTGGCCTGTGGCCACGAGAGCCTGGCCGTAGAGGAAGAGAATCGCAGCGTTGCCGAGATGGAACAGGAATATCGTGATGGCAACAACGCCCAAAGGCTTGTTTTTGAGAAGGATACTGGCCCCCCTGAAACCACTTCTGGAAGGCTTTGATGGGTCCCTGTTCGTGAACCTTTGGGTGAACTTGTTCGTAAACCTTTCCTTCTTGCCTTTCGGACTGGTTATTGGACTTTCGACTGGAGGGCTGATGTCTCTGTGTGCTTCTGTGTCGGCCTCTGCTCTTCCCCTCTCTTGCATGTCCTCTCGATTACCGGTATCGTCAGGGGAAGGTCCTCCTCCCCTCGCGGCCCTGTGGTCAATCGCCCGTTCTGGTAGCAGAAACACGACACCAATCGTCGCCGCGCAAAATGCCATAACCAGGTAAAAGACTGCCGTCAATCCAAAATGCGAGCCAAGAAGCCCAGCCAGACCGGCGCTGACCATGTTCCCCGCATGATTAGCCGCCTGATTTCGCCCGTTCAGAGTGCGGAAGCTATGTTTGCTCTTGTCATCAGAGCAGATGCCTAGCGTGAGGGCAACAAGCAGAGGCACCATGCTAGTGCCGGCAACGGCGGACACGATCTGCGTGAGGAACACGAGAGCCGGATGTGTAGATAGGAGGTTGAGTCCTTGGGATACACCAACGAGGAGGGCGCAGACGGCTACCATCATGCGCTTGTATCTGGTGAGTTCAAGTATCAGTGACCTTGCCATCGTCTAGTGCTATTTCCGTAGCATTGCGATGCATCAGCTGACTCACTTTGTTGCGTCTATCAACGCACCGATGGGCCCCGTAGCCAGAATGGTAGCCACGCCGCTCACTGTCTGAACTGACCCGCGCAACCCGGGAGCCCATCCGTGTTCTTGAAGATAAACTCCAAGGAAGGGACCAAGACCGTCTGAAACGTCACCCATGAAGAACGCCATCACGAAAAGAGCCCATCGGGCCCATCTCTTCAGCTTCGCATCAGCCTCGCTTGTCGGATCTGCATCTCCTGGCGTATCTTCCTCGCTGGTAGGCACGTCCAAGATGGTAGGCGGCGCCGACACGGACGAGGTAACCGGGCTGTCCTTCTTGCTGTCGACCTCCGGGCTTGGCTCAGCTGGATGCAGGGACTCCAGGCTGATGGCGTTGCGCGGGTAGGTCTGGTTGTCCTTGGCGTCCATTGTCTTGTGCAGCGTAGGATGAAGGAACACACTTCCATGGCCGTGGGATGCTGGAAGGGCCGTTCGTTATAAGAGGCACGGCCCCTCGTCCATCACAACGACGGGAGCAAGACTGACTTTGACAGACGTTCCTACGTCAGTATCCCTACATGCCGATTTGAAACGGTGCCAAATATAGCCACTTGTATGAACTCTTTTTTTCCGAACTCACCTGGGGCTGTCTTCGTTTTGGCATACTTCGTGTGTCGGTGCAGATAAGGTTGGTGTGTACGTCCGTTTTGAAACGTGCATACACACAAAACAACCCGTTCGTGGCCCAAGTGCCGCCGATTTACCCGCCTTGAGTTCTCTAAACTTGGGATGAGCGGGGACCATCGCCATCAGCGGGAAATTTCGAAAGAGCGAAGTAATCGGTATTTAGTTGTGGGTGGTGCTTCCTCCGCCGACTACATTTACGCTGATAATGGAGGTGTCCTTATTAGAGGACCGCTTGCGTTAATGACCACTCCATCTCATGATCCAATATTCCACTTGGCCCTTGGCAACACCCTCATAAGGGAAAAGGGTGCATTCGCTGTTCGAGTTGTGATTGCATCATAACATCACTTGGATTTGCTATAGTCTATCGCCACTGCTGTGACTGCTCGTTCTCGTTTCCTCAGTGATGTCTGCGCCTCTTCTGGCCAGAAGCTGCCTCGAAACCCTAAAGCTTGGCGATTTTGTCCTTGTATGACAGATGTGCCGTTGCAATTTCTCCTTTTCCTTAGTTTGGGACATAGCCGCTTGGCTAGTTGAGCATGCTTCTTGGTGTTTGAGTGCTTCAGCTCTGAT